TAAATTTGCTTATGTTGAACGAATAGGCAGACATTTGTCAACAAACCGCCTTAAGTAAAACATCACTCGTATAAATAACATGGCATTCTTCTTTGATAAGCCTAACTGCAGTACTGAAACATATTTTCCTAATTTTATAAATTGTTTTGTTGCCACTTCTAAAAAACTAAACTAACAATAATTATTACTGGCCAAACGACATTAAATAAAAAGTTAAAGAAAGTGAGTAACGTTAAATTGAAGCACGTATAAAAGAAAGTAAGTAAAGTTAAATTGAAGCACGTATAAAAGAAAGTAAGTAAAGTTAAATTGAAGAACGTATAAAATAAAAACTACATTCATCTGAAAATCCAACAAAACCACTGTCACTTAAGGGTAACCTCCTTCATGGAAAAGCAATGATCTGCTTTCTAGAAATCATTTCCAGTTCAGGAACGGACTAATCTATATTACATAAACTGCTATAAGAAAAAGGTTTCAGCTGACGAACATTTCGGATGGGAATTAAGTTCGTGGACTGAGGGGTGACCAGACAAAAGCCCACTGGACGAAAGCGCACACGACAAAAGCCCACAAAAAAGACCCCACTGCGATAATTGCACCAACGCGACTAATACCCAACCAATAACGCAATTGATAAAAGCCCACACAGAAAAAAGCCCACATGATAAAAAAACATAAGCGCTGATAAAAGCCACTGACAAAACCACACCGATGTATATATGCACGTCAAATTAATATATTTTCCTTTTTTCTTCAGCTTCACAAAGCAGATTTATGAATAAAGGTAAATAAAGTAAATATTAAATGTTGCACTTTTGGGGTCGAATTAAACCCTATATCCATAAGATAAATATATTATTTTACCAGTCCCCTGGTTAATCCGACAACGGGAAAGGGAAGTATAAAATGTATGTAATTTTCATCATGAACTAAAACACTGTTTTAATGGTGAGTTTAAAAGCACGGTTTCTAATCTCGCCATTTTGTCCTTGGCTTTTACATAAATTTTTCCTTTTTTTTTCATTTTTGCTCAAATAATTAAATTTTTCCTAATCATAGCTTTTGGATTTCTGAAATGTTCGGGTTTTTAAGTGGCATTCATATTGTTAGGTCTTTTGTTCATGCCATTTTTCAGCCCCACGTGTATCAGCACCATTTTCCTTTCCTCTTTTTTGAGCTGTTTGCGTTAATGCTTACTCTTTATCCCCTATCAACCGGGGCACCACGCCTCAGAACAAGACGGGGCGAACGAATTAAGGTTGTCAGGATAAATTAGGGATTTTAAATGTTTTTTTTTTTCTAGCCATAACAATATCTGAATTCGGCTTGTAACTAACGTTCACCCCTTATATTGCATTTCTTTAGGTTCTTAATAAGTTTTCTAGGATTTAGTTAGATTTCCATTATTTAAAAATTTCTCTAACTGAAAACGAAAGAAATTCCCCTTTTTTAAACCACCCAATTTTGTTTTGCACCACTGCGACGAGGTCCCACACCGTTTTTCGAGTGTCTCTCCCACTTTGGATAAACTATTTGTTATTAAAACGCACTGCCTATTTCGTAAACTTGAACTATTTCCACACCGATATATATTTTCCTTTTACTTATATTATTTTCCTTTTCTTTCATATGGTTGAAACGCATTTGAAAGTTGTTGAAAAATAATTAACCTTAATTTAAACTATGCCTTATTTTAGTAAGAAGGTTTTCTGACACTCAAGACTCTTATTTAAACCTACTTATTTCTCTCAGTAATTTTGACTTATAAGCGATTGCTATAAACGCTTAAAAACAGTTCATTTTAATTTAACGTAATTATTTATATACAAAAAATTTCAATGAAACAAATTTAAACAGCATTTAGAAACTGAATTTCACTGCAACACTTCTTTTGTGGGTCTTATGCTATTATTACATGTTGAATATTATTTCTCCTAGATTAAGAAAAAGAAATACATAACATGTAAAAAATTATTATTTAGAAAAGCTATCAAATTAAGGTCATTTTCTTCCCCTCGAAATACATTGTTTTCCTTATACGAGTTTCGTATTCTGACAGCACAGGAATAGTGGCCACATAACTTATAGGAGATATTTCTTATAAGCCTCGTGTGTTGGCGATCAAGTAGAAAAAGTGCATAATAATGGAGCTACGTTTGAAGAATTTTTTCCCTTATCGAATGAGTTGAAAAGTTTCTAATATCTTCTTTTCTAGCATGAAATGTTTCACCAGTTTTTAAGGTTCTTTCCTAAGAATAATTCATTAAGCAGAAGTTAGTAAGAACAAGTAAGGTACTTCAAATTTGATCTCTTAGGTTTATTAGGTCTGGCTACCAAATAAACGTTTTTGAATTCAACATCAAATTTTAAACATAAATTTTTTTTTAATTTGTGTCTTACGTTTATAAAAAAAAAAAAAAAAACATTCACGTAATCCATCATGTAAGTTTAATAAACAAAGTTAGTATAAGAGAAGTGTGACAAATTAAATTATCTGTTGCATTCAGTCACTATTAAAAAACTAATTCTGTCTAGACTTTGGGTCCTCAATCAGGAAATAGCCTAAGGGAATTTCACAGTTTCAGAGTAATTTAGTCAACCTTTTCTTTACGTATTAAGTATTTAGGATTTTTATAAAATGAAAAAAAAATTTGTTCCATTTTGTATTTCCAACATTTATACTTGAATGTTTCAACTCATCTATAAAAAACAAACGGGCTATGTTTTCAAGTTTTTCTGGCACTTTGATTTTTTTTGCAATGGTGAAAGGGCATTGAGGGAAAACTGTTTAATCACTGTTTCTAGATTGAGCCAACTTGAATAATTCACTGATCTTTAATGCTTTACCTGTTCTTAGTTCTTCTGTCGAGTCATGATTTTTTTATGCGGGAGACTTGAAAAATAAGCAATCCCCTCCTCGAGGCTAAAGGCCTGTATTTTCTCGAATATGAGAACGATTGTACTAACCGTTGCATCACAAGGTTCTGGAAGGAGAGAAAAAATTTATATACTCCTTCTTTTAAGACACTGGGTATTGGAGGACCCAGGTCGTCAAATCGTCGTGGAGAACGAGTCCTCATCCACCACCATTTTTTTTTCAGTTCAGTTTTTGCTGGGAGACGTGAAAAATGAAACAATGCGCTGGCCGGACTTAAAATGAAAAACATCGAAACGCGCCGGTGTTAACCGTTTAAACCACGAACGCATTGCTGAAGGAGGGAGAAAATACTATGGGTATGTATTATTTCAGAATATACTGAATTCACAGTAGGATCAGTTAAGAGTATTAATGAGATTCGGTCAACCTGCTGCTTAGTATTACGGATTAATTGTAGCTAATTGATTCCTCAAACCTTATAAAAAAAGCAGTTGTTAAAATATCAAGTATTGTTGGGTATTTATTCGTCAAACTGAGTAGCATGTTTAAATAGCAGTTTGCATTAAAAATATCTGAATGAAGTAAGCTTTCTAACAATTTTATAGTGATAATTAATTTTGATAGAAAACACTGATGTAAAAGACTGTTGCAACACGACCGGAAAGTACTCATAACATTATGCCTTTATATTTATCATTTCAGCACGTTTTTTATCTACTGCATATGTAATGAAACAATTCATCTTCATCAACCTTTTTTATGCCGTAGGTCCTAAAAACATATGCCTTTAACGCATTAAATAAATAACGCCTTTTAAAAAAACATGCACCTGTAAACTATGTATCGCGTATAAGATATCATGTAATGTAACCATTTTACTTTTATTTTAACCCTGGCGTGGCAGAATGCGTGGCTGGAGACCAACTATGACCTCGAGACGCCGAAGGTTGTTTTTAACCAGTGTGTAGAAACAACTTACTTCAGGTAAATATAGGTCCCTTCACTTCTACTGAATCACAACAAATAGCAGTGGTCTATATGTTAAGCACAATTTGTACTCTTGTAAAGAGTCTCTTGATAAAAGTTTCAACCTTTTTGAAGGGCAGCGGCAAAGCCTCGAAGACTATTATGCTGAGGAAGAGAGGATTCGGGAAACTTTCGTAAAAACGGCTCTTGCTACACATGGATTCCCTTAATGTTAACATGCCATCAATCAATCCCGAGACTTCTACTCAGACCAAAATAAAAGGGAGGGATAACTATTTTTTCGGTAAGCCGCCCGTTATGCTTTTTAAGGATTTATGCTCGTCAATAGCTTACATTTATGGTTTTTTTTTGAAGGAAATGATTAAAGGATCTAAAAACAGAAAAGTCATCATACATTTTAACTGGAGGTAAATGCTTTATTTCACTTCATTTTCTATAAAACCAAACATTTTTTATTTTTCATGTTATAAAAGGGAAAATAGTACCTAGAAAAAAACAGGCAATGAAACAATTAAAAAAATAAAAGTTTACTGGAGGTAATTTTCTATGGACACAAAAAAAACGGGATGAATGGTGTTCTTAGAACTAAATATGTTGAAAATAAAGGGGGCTGATACCTAAAATTAAACACAAAGGGGCTTTTAAAAGGTTTTTGTAAAGCGGGTAACTCAAACTAATAAGAGTGCAGGAACTATAGAGGACTAAGTAAGGAAAGAATGCCTTCGGGAAATTTTTCAAAAACTGGCCCGCCCCCGCCAAAATAAATAAAATGAAAAAACCCAGTCTAACTCAGTTTTGTTAGTATATTTCTATATTTTTTTAAGGGAAAACGATTAAAAGATAATAGCTTAAGGGAAATGACTGTAATAACGGGGATTTAAATGGATGCTAAAAACAGAAAACGACGATCCCGTTTTTTTCTGAAAATACAAACGTAACAACCAGATATTCTGTAAAAAATGATGACTGAGTAATCTATACCAGAGATGGTTTCCATATTAAAAATAATAAAAAATTGCAAAACTGAACTTTGTTTCCTCTAACCTCCTTGTTTCTTTCCGCGACTTTGGATACACCTTACGGCAGTTCTTCGAACTACTGATTATTGCAACTCCGATCATGTTGACATATCTGTTGGTCCAAATGCTTAGAATGGAGTTAATACGGTAGTATATTATTTTATCTCAACTACAAAATTTTTCGCCGAAATTTTTTATTGAAATTATTCACTGCCGTCAAGATGCAGCCTCCGCCAAGAAAGGTACTATAAAATTTCATTAAATGATTATAATGAAAGGAATGCATTTAAAAAATTATATCCGCCTGAACTTAAAATTATGTATAGATTATGTATATAATTATATATTAATGCCGAAGACGAACTTTATCCATATTTAATTAAGAGCAGTATTCTTATATTTTCATGCAGTAATTAACAAATTCATTAGAAATTTATTCAGGTGATCTGCGTGAGGAAGTTTTCTTGTGAAATTTTGGATTCTCAAAAGCCATGAAAACGCTAAACATACTTAAAATACAAAATTTTGCATTTTCAATTAAAATATAATTTAATATATGTGGCAAACTATAATTAATACATTTTTTTCTCCCTTTTTTTAAGATTTCATTTTTTTTTTTTGTCAAACTGACGATCTTACAATATAAAAACGAAAATATTGTTTAATTATGAATCTTCCATAATATTTTTTAAAAGTAGAGATATGTATTATAATTGAAATGTTACAAACAGATTATTAAAAAAAAGCTACTTCAATACTTTGGTTTTAAATAGATAACCAATTCGCTTGTTGTTTTAAGAAATTAATAATATTTCTCTATTTTTGTGTGTAAATTAATTTTCTTGATCAGAAATGAATATTTTAAAATGATATGTATTGACATGATCACAATAAAAAAAAAATTACTATGAAAGTTGTAATACTGCTTCAAAATGAAATTAAACCTGGAGTAATGCATATTCATGTATAAAGACAGATTTAAACTCAACATGAACCATAAGCAGATGCCAGATTAGAGATTTCTGAAACAGAAAAAGGGGTATATAAAATCTCAGAGTATTTATTTGAAAAGATACTAAAAAATTAAAAATAAAAATGTAACTAAAACAGTAACTAATTGTAATCAGTTCACAGTACAGTAATAGTATTTTGTCTAATAATCCTATTTTTATGCGAGAGAATAGGTTGCCTGTGTGTTATCCCATCTATAATATGAATAGAACCAATTTTTAAATGAATAACTTGACCACCAGGGCTTTAAAGGAATGATTGAATGATCTTGAAATGCCTGTGCAAAGAAGGCCATTCTGAGGAATTCTAGGTTGATCTTTAGATTATGGTAACTTGGCGATTTTTTGGCGAAAATTTGGCGACCAACTCTCTTACAGCAACCCTCTATTTTTTTTTCCCCGCCGCCATTTTGTCTTCACGAAGTAAAGACATGTTTCTTTACTTTTTATCTACTGAAACACTTCTTCCAAACTCTAAGCCGAATTACACTTATGCTAGAATTTTATCTAACTGCTAATCATGAAATATTCACTGCAAAAAAAAGTGCCAAAGTGCCTCCTCCGCGTTTTTTCAAAATAACACATACACATAACCATGTGTTCGACCTATTTTTACTTAAAAAAGCATCCCAGAATTACACAAAAATGGCATTGCGCACCCTCTTCACTATTTCTATGTACTTTTCATAAAATTTCATGCAATTTTTCCCTGATTCTTTAAAAAAAAAAAACATATATGAAATAACCCTTTCGCGAAAAGATATCCCTTTCCAATATAACCTTTCACATAAATAAATAAATATCAAAAAACTTTTACCTCTATCTATTATATTATAAACGTCACCACGAATTCATACCGCAAGCATTACAAATACTTAGTGTCAAATATTTAAATTATTTCCATGCACGTTTACTTCAACTAAAACGATACCGAATTCCTACAAACATAAAATTCACAAAATATAACTATCATTTAATTAAAATATCACTAAACCATGTACACGTCGACTTATTTTTACTTAAAAAAAAATTCTCCCAGAATTGCATAAAAATGGCATTGCGCACGCTCTTCACCATATCCATGTACACTCCTTTTTTCTCATAAATTAGAAAAATTTCATGAAAATGCATGACAATTTTCTGAATCTTTAAACCCGTTAAAAAGAACATATATGAAATTACCTAATAATGAAAAAGTATATACCCTTTCCAAATATGAACATTTCCACGTATAAAATAAATAAAATATCCAAAAACTTTTACCTCTAAATTATCTATTATATTATAAACGCCACCAACGAATTCATACTGCAAGCATTACAAATACTTAGTGTCAAATATTTAAATTATTTCCATGCACGTTTACTTCAACTAAAACGTATACCAAATTCCTACAAACATAAAATTCACAAAATAACTATCATTTCATTAAAATATAATTAAATTCAAAAAACACTACTTAAAATATAAATAAGCACATACAAATTAATAAAATTAGCTTACAATCCTAATTACTTTAAACTAAATCATTGCTAATAAATTTTCCCAATAATACCAAATTATTTTATTTCCACCTTACATTTAGAACAATGCATAAAAATAATATCCTCAAATAATTAAAAATACTAACTTACGTAATCTTCTTCAGAATCTTGATTACGTGTCCGATAAGCTTTTCTTATTTCCTCCGCTAAATAAAAAGCAAGTGTATGTGCGCCTGTTTCAGGATCTTTAAAATCATACTTATAGTTCACAGCAAGGTACCAGGTAAAATAAATAACTTAATAAAACATCTTTACTTCTATCTTGCACAACCTTAAAGAATAATTATTAATACCCCTTTCAATCCCACTAAATACCCATTTCGAATTCACTAGTTAGGGGCCATGGGATCCAAAAATTAACGAACACTGTTTCACACAACACAGAATAAGCCAAATACAAAATTTCCAGATTTTTTTCCCGATTTCCCCCCTTTTCCGATTAAAGAACCGTAAGTCGCCCATTAATATCACATGACATATCCCATGATCTCTCATTTCCCTCACACAAAATAATGCGTAATTGGAACTGAGTACTGCTCACATTATTTCCAAAGTCCCAGGTAGTAACATTTATCGCCTCCAAAATGTCACCAAACTACCAGTTACCATATTCTAAAGATCAGCCGAATTCTAGTCTGTGATCGTCCTTGTTCAGAAATCCATTTTAAAATTTTTGCTAGGCTATTGGAAATTTTTTAAATGAATCAAAGGTTTCAAAATCATATCCGGAAAGAACAAAGAAATAATAAAGAATAAAGTAAATATGGCAAAAATATTAATATAAGAAGAAGCGTATATTAAATGAATTAATTTATGAAGGTGTTTTGATTAATTTTTTTATTATTATGAAATCTTTTAAATGTATGATTCTTAATTTTTTCCCCTTTTTTTAATTTAGGGTAAAGTAACAACCCTTTTAAAAAATGCACACAGTGAACAATTGGTCAAATTGCAAATGAAACATCAGCAAGATTCTGATTTCTTAGATGATATTAGGTAAATGTACATTATATATTTGTTTAATAATCTTAGAATTTTGCATTGCTTAACCTTTTGGTGGTCATGAATGAACTCGACTCGCTTTCCAGTTACACTCTGCAGTGGGTGCAAATGAACCAGCTCACATTACAAATTTATGACTAACAGATATCATGTGCATTTGGGTAGAAAGAATCGATTAATCTCTTAGTTGCTGAAGGGCTAACCATTTAAATCAAACTCTTGTTGAAGATTTGATTAACAGATATCATGCATATTTGGGTAGAAAGAATTGATTAATCTCTTAGTTGCTGAAGGGCTAACCATTTAAATCAAACTCTTGTTGAAGATTAATCTTTTTCATTGCAATAAAATATGATGTTAAAATTTTTCAGGACATCAGAAGTATGTATATTCAGAAGCATATGTAAGGTTGATTATTTTAATAAACAAATAATTAAAAAGATGACATACTGTAAAACATTTTATTGACAGGTACAGGTGGGCGGGATATTAGAATTTCACCATTGATCATATAGTCTCGCTGCACTGATTGTGCCATTCTGTTCCTATTTTGAGAGAAAGAACAGAATGGGATCATCAACCTCTCGAGAGAACTATTGGCTCACTGTATATTAGAGTACTCTCTTGCTGCACAGACACTATACACTTACAAACAACTCTGCCTTTACTGGGATTTGAACCTGGCCTGTTGGTACGACAGTCAATTTACCTAACCACTATAATGGCTGGATGGTACTTTTATGCACAGTATTTACTTTGAAAGCAAGAATACCAATTTAAGAGATAAAAGCAATGCATTTAATTTAAAATGACCAGTAAGCAACAGTGTTGGCCAAGATCTGCATAACCCCTTAAGGACCAGCGTGTGGAGAACAAAGCACAGGCACAGGATCAAAACCCCCTGAAATGGAATGTTGCCATCGGCACACATATTTTCAACAGTTAAGCCTTATTTTACCAAAAAATTCATTATTTTAATATAATGACCTTAATTTTTAAAGTTTTTTACTTGATATAGTAATTCTTAATATGCATTAATATAAAGAATATAACATTAAAAGAAATAAATTAAATATGCGAAATGCTAAAATTGTAAGTACAGTCAAAAGTCGTTAATCTGGACTCGTCGGGAATTCGACGATTCCGGATTATCGATTTTTCTGGATTATAGATCATCAGTTTAAATCTGGTAAGAAGGCATGCAGAAATTATAAAATTAAAAATATGAAACCGTAATTTATGAAATAAAAAACAATTATGATCTAAAAGGTATCAAAATTTACAAAAAAAAAAAAAAAAAAAAAAAAAAAGCTTAATATTTAATTGTTTACTTTATTAAACATTTCTTTCAATGTAAGTTATTTAAGTTGCTTCATTTTATGTGATAATACTTTCTCTTTAATTCTATAAACAGACAAAATTTTCTTGTTCAGTTACAAAGTTCCGCTGTTCAGGTCCTATAATTGCTGTGTCGAGAATACCGACTAATTTGTCAATCAAAATTTTTTCGTTTTCAATAACCTCTGTGTCACTTTCTTCACCATCGGAAGCGAATTATAATGACGAAGAATTTGATTTAAATCATATCAAAGACGGAGTACATCGAGATGAAATACTACATTTAGTAAGGAATTAGGCTAATCTTTGGAATATGGTAACAGGTAGTTTGGCGACATTTTGGTAAGGCGATAAAAGTTACTTGCTAGGACTTTAGTAGTGTACATGGATAAAGTCAAGAGTGTACGCAATGCCATTTTTGTGCAATTCTGGGATTTTTTTTAAGTGAAAATAGGTTGTTGTGTACATGGATGATACCGTGTATGTGCAATTCTTAAAATCGCGGCAAGCAGTTTGCGATTCTGCACTTTCTCCCAATTTCACACCTAATCTTTGTCATGATTAAGCCCTTTTGTCCCATAAAAGTTCTAGTATAAGCGTAATTCGGCTAGCAGATTGTTGGAAAAAATGTTGAGTAAAGAAAAAGAAAACATGTCTTTACTTTGTGAAAACAAAATGGCGTCCAAAACAAAACTAGCAGGTTGCTGTAGCAGGGTTGGTTGCCAAATTTTCGCGAAAAAAATCTCCAAGTTACCGTAATCCAAAGATTAACCAGGAATTATAAGCCAAATAAAATAAAAACATCTGCCCTGAAGATAAGGATAGTGCTGACAGATCAACTTCCAATTCATTGCTCGCCGTGGCGTTCCCCCCCTCGCCGCAGAGCACCGTGAAATTGACAAACAGATTTCGGAATGGTTAGAGAAACAAAGGATATGCCTTTATCCATTTTTTTGCAGCAATTCCACTTTTTGTTTGATGGACATCGAAACATACTTTTGCTTTGTAGATCCTTTGGGAGCTCCAGCATTGGAAATTCTATTTGACATAATCGAAAGTTCAAGCTTACTTTTATAAAATTGCTCTAACAGTCTGCAAAAAATAATAAGCCGGATCCAATTCGAAGATTAAGGAACAACGCAATCTGCAGCATTAACTGAAATAGATAATTTTAGATTATACCGTCCATTATACATTAAACGCGCATGCGTAAACGTATTATGCGCACACGCATATGCACAGCCGTATAGGTCTTACGCGCAGAAAGTTTGTAGCTTTGAGGTCCAGATTATGGATCATTCTGGATTATGGGTGTCCGAATTAACGACTTTTGACTGTATATACATGAAAACAAAAATTCCAATTTAAAAATTCTTCTGTGTGTAGAATAAATGGCTAATCTTTGGAATATTGTAACAGGTAGTTTGGCGACATTTTGGTAAGGTGATAAAGGTTACTAGCTAGTACTTTAGCAGTGTACATGGATAAAGTCAAGAGCCATTTTTGTGCAATTCTGGGATGTTTTTTTTAAGTGAAAATAGGTCGACGTGTACATGGATATTGTCTATGTGCAATTCTTAAAAAACGTGGCAAGCAGTTTGCGATTCTGCACTTTCTCCCAATTTCGCACCTAATCTTCGTCATGATTAAGCATGATTTTTTTTTGTTCCATAAAAGTTCTAGTATAAGCGTAATTCGGCTAGCAGATTGTAGGGAAAAATGTTGAGTAAAAAAAAAAAAAGCCTTTACTTCGTGAAAACAAAACTAGCAGGTTTGGTCGCCAAATTTTCGCCAAAAAATCGCCAAGTTAGCATAATCTGAAGATTAACCGAAGAATTCAAAATGAGGATCAACACACAGGACAACACACAGGTCTTTTTTCACCGAGCAAGTAAGATGCTCCATGCATTAGGAAAGCTAATGTCTTTCCCTTTCTGTAATAATGCTGTGAAGTTACTTATTAATGAACCAAGAAGGCCTACGTTAAGTTTTAATATAAGTGTAAAAAAAGAACAACTATTCTGAGTTTAAACGTCACGCGGAAGTTCGGCAGCATTACGCCTACTCTAGTCAGCTAGATGTGTTTTTCCACATTCTAACAATAACAACAAAACCAAAAAAACACTTTAACCCTTTCTGGCACGCTACCTTACAAAGTTGGAATTAAAAAAAAAAAAAAAAAAAAAAAAAAAAGCCAAGCAGTCTAATTAGGACTAGAAGAGCATACAGGTAAAATATTGTAAATATTGACTGATTTAGGTACTTTTCTGTTTCGCCGGCACAAATCTTGCCAAGGAGACTTTATTGGGGACAGCATACAGTATACACATAAAAAATTTTAACAAATGTTCGTTCTACGAATTTTTTATTTTCAAGGCATAAACATTTTAATATCGTTTAAAATTTTGTAAAAAGACATACTATGCCTTCATGGTTCAACAACCTGATTCGCTGGTTCATATCACGTGACTCAAATGATCTCATCTTGCGTAAACTACGCTACAAAAATCAAATTCTCTTAGTAATTATTTACATTAATTACAAGTTAAATCTTAATTTGGAACACAAGGTTAAATCCAAGAATTATTTCAATTCGTACGAATAGCTTACGTAGAAATTATGTAAAACCACAATGCTTTACTTCGCTAGTGCATTCTCATTAGAATTCATGAATTTAATCCTCGACTTTGCCTTTTCTATATTTTCGCCTTTGGATGAGCGGTGTGATTGCATCCTAATTGACTTAACTTCTACAAATTGCCTTCAGGCATAAAATTGAACTATCTGGCAAAAATTCTATGTAATTGTATCTGTGTTGAAAGAAACAATCAATCGGAAATGAAGAAGAATGAAATGGCTGAAATGGCTGTGAAGACAGAAATGGCTGTGACTTGTTTTGAAAATGAGGCGTAAATGAGCGAGGATATTCCGTTCGGCTTCAGTTGTACCATTATTGGCGACTTTATTACCTGCGCCGGCAAAACGGAAAAGTACCCTGATTTAATTTTGTGGGTGTGCCTGAGGCAGGCTCACTCAATTTCAACCAAAAAAATGGCAAACATTCTAATTAGGACTAGAGGAGTACACAGATAAAATATTGTAAATATTGACTGATTTAATTTTGTGGGTATGCCCGAGGCAGGCTCACTCAATGAATGGAGTTTCGAAAAGAGTGCTGAAATGAGCATTGCTGGAAAGCCCGTAATAGTGTAAAAGATTTTGCCTACAATTAAAAAACACAAGATTCTGTTTATCATAGCAGATTTAGCATTACCCAGGGAGCATCACGATGATTCCTGCTACACCCCTTCTAAAAAAGTGTTTCTCTGCTCTCCATATAGGATTCACTATATGATGGCAGTTCATTTAGCATTTTCATCGCTTCAGAAATGGTCAGCACTTTCAATCCATTTGTAAATTAATTAAAATCAGAAAAAATAAACGAATATTATATCTGCAATTAAGAAATTATAAATTATGAAGTAAAATTAAACATCTATAGTTCAAAACTATCAAAACGTAGAGCTAATGAAACTTCTTTCAATGAAAGCGAGATAAAAAAAGAAAACTGCTTTAGTGAAATAAGAGAGCTAACTAATAAAAATATCCCTGACATTCAGAAAAACACTCCTGCAATTTCTTAGTTGATAACCAAACGTCCTCCCCCTCAAAAAAAGCAAAAGTTAAACAGGAAATGATACAAAGCTGTGCACCTCCTTGTGAATGGGCTCACCGAAGAAAATTTTGTAAAATGTGATATGATTGTTCATCTGGCATTTCAATAATCCCATTATGGGCATACCAGATGTTCATTTTTCAATTTTAGGCAAGATTTCAAGATAAAAAATCAAAACTAAGATAGAATAAAGAAATGGGTATACAGCCAAGAAAATAACATAAAAATTTGTTAAAAAAAAAAAAAAATCTAAGATTTCTCTGATAAATGAGAATATTTAAAAACTAAATATGGCTAAAATGTATGGACTGGTTTTTGTTGTGCTGCCATCTAGTGTTAATAAAGAAGGTTAAAATTAACCTGTAACCTATAAAGCCTTTTTCATTCAGTTTTTCTGTGTGTACAGAGGGAATGTTTTGGTGTGCCCAGACTGAGGGTTAATGCAGAGGCACCATTATGAAGATTTCTGACTTTTCAAAGAGTGGCTGACCCACATAAAGATATAGGCACCTTTGTAATGGGGCACCCTAATAAAATGGTTCCATATCCTGAGTATGACGGTAAAATGTTTTATATAAGAGTTGCAAAATTTTACTGCTGCTACATTTGTTGGACATTTTAAAATGCAGCATTTTCTGCTTCCAAGGAGCAAAAAAGAAATTTGATTTAAATTTTGCTGGATTATTTTTGTAGTATTTCCTTATAAGGCATTTTCTCCCTCCTTCCAGCATGCCTTTGCATTGTAACGATTAGCACACTCGGCGCACGTTTCAGAAGTTCAGGTTCAAGTCCGTCCCGCGAAGGCACTGCACATTTTTCGTGTCTCCCTCTTCAAAATAACCTAATGTCTCTACAGTGGCTTCCCAACTAAAAGATGGTGGATGTTGATTCTTCACCAACAGGATTTGGAGATTGAGTCCCTAATCCCCATTTGCCCTTTAAAAGGGAGAATATATATAAGGTATTTTCTCCCTCCTTCCAGCATGCCTTCGTGGTGTAATGGTTAGCACATTCGAGAGGTCCAGGTTCTAATCCTGGTGAGGGGATTGCACATTTTTCATGTGTCTACATCCTATTATTATGATCCCCATAATGTAAATGGTGGTGAGATTATTGAGAAATCACCAGCGCAAACCATTATCAAATGATCAGCAGTATCTCCTGCATTTTTTCCTGTCTACCACAGTCTTACTGGCCATTTCTTACTCTACTAAGCAAAATTGAACACTCATTAATTCTTTATTTCAGCAGTATATAAATGCGACTGCTGTAGTAAATGACAGATGGTTATGAACTTATTACTGCTTTGAATGCTGACGTGTTTGTTACAGTTTTTTATGTTGCATATTCAAAAAGGTTGTTTTCCAAAATACATCATCATCAAATGCAAATCTGAACGTTCCCGCTTTTGTGGCAAAATATTATATTCCTGCAAAAGTTTCACAGAGCTTTCTTCTTTTGCCTGCAAATCCCACAAACGCATGCTTCAAAATTCAGCTGAAAACCAAAAATATCGCAATTTGCCATCAGAGTTTCTAATACAACAAAAACAGCTTGTACAAATATTGCGGCATTTCTTATTGAAACTTGCAGTTATTGGTATAGTTACCTGAAGAATTGTTATGTGCATGGTTGCCAGAGTTTCAATTTCTAACAAGGTGGTTGCTATAATGTAAAGTATCCTTCCACAGTACTGGTTATTTGATGGGTTATTCTTAGAAATGTGAATTTTTTCTCACTCAGCCACACTCTTAACTAAACTCGTTGACCATATACAGGAAGGATCAGTGATTTATTTAAATCGTTAGCGAGCATATAAAACAGAGAATTTCCGGCAGGTTTGAAACATTTTGATGAACAACAGTTGCTTATATACAAAATATTGGAAAACTGCTGCAATTTGTTAAGTGTGCAATAAAAATCGATATGGCACAGTTTACCTTTATCAGGAGTTTATGCAGCCAAAGTCCAAGAAAATTTTTCTGATATTTTAAAAGCAGTCATGAAACATGTCAGTCACAAAGTATATATGAAAAGTTAACATGAATTTGGTGATTATCCTAGCTTTAACTTGGTGTTTAAAAAAATAACATGTAATAATAATAATGTACCAAAAAATTGCATATTTTTGACTTTTAACTTGGTCAGACTTATATAAAAAAAATATAAGGGTTAGAGTAGAGAGAAGGGCACCCCTTGTATTATCGTGAAGTTTCATTTATCGCCAAGTTGTTGTTTCATTTATGGTAGCCTGAGTAGTTATGGAAACCCTATTATGACATAATCGGTTGCATGATTGCGGTAAATTCATAAGGGCTTATGGTGTGTGTGTGATGGTTAGGAAGTATATTGCTTGTTTTGTGGTTTAGACAGTAAAATGGCTGAATATGGTAAGATTAATTTGAAGTTTCTGTATGATTTGGAAAGAAGGGGGGAAAGGAGCATTACTTGACTGGTGTGTAAATGAAGGTTTACTTAGTAAGCCGTTATAAGTGTCCTGTTTGTATGAAGGAAATGCGTGTGGTCAAATGTCGGAGGATACTGCCACTATGGAGAATTTTTACTTTTTGTGAATTTATGTGGCATCTCCACTATACAGATTCTAGTTCAGATAATTTTAGGAAATTTTTTGGATGCTGTTAAGGAATTTTGTTTGACTGAAGACACTGTTAATTCGTGAATAAGGTAAGTGGATATTTCCTTTGTGTAATGCAAAGATGAATTTCCTTTTTTTATGTTATTTCATTGTTTGATTTAAAATGTAGTTTATTGAGATCATATATTTTTTTGTTGGCTGCTCCTTTGACTTTTTAAGTGAATATAGTTTGATGTGTACATGGGCAAAGTCAAGGGAGTGCACAAAGTTTAGTTTGTGCAATTCTCTGATGTTTTTTTAAGTGAAAATAGGTCGATGTGTACAAGGATAAAGTCAAGGGAGTGCGCAATGCCACTTTTGTGCAGTACTAGAATTTTTTTTAAAAAGTGAAAATAGGTCAATGTTTTGCGCAAAAATCGCTGCTATACTAGCCAAAATAACAAATCAAAGAATTGCACAAACGATATCCATGTACTGCCAAAAATCGTTAAGTTTCACCAAGGGGTACCCATAAATATACTTTTAGCTGAAATTTAGGGGTAGATTGAAACAATATCAATTTTAAAAAAGAAAAGTTAGTGTTTCTTTCTAATTTTTGTTAAAAAAAACTAATTGTGTATTAGGTCTGTGTACTTAATTATCATGTGTATCATGATCTCTGAGAATTTCATTCTTGAATTCTTTTGTAGGAATTTTACTAAAATGAGAGCAATCATTGAAAAAGATTATGCTCAGGTAATTCTTTTTATTTTCTCTTCTTATGCAAATGTGTACTTCATAATCATTTGAAACATCTTACACTTGAAACAATTTATTCTTAGTAACAAATATTATAAAATGGAAAAAATATAAAAGTTAGAAATATTTCTTTCAAAATAAATATTTTTAATAAATTTCTCCAAATTTTTAAAGAAATCTATTTTAATTATTAAAAATACATTTTTTTTTCTTTCAGTCTGTGAACTAAGAGTCATTTTTGGAAGCTAATTAAATTTTTATTTTCTAGTGAAAAAATGTAATACGTTTGCATGCACATAAAAACGTTTTTGATACAATCAGTGTTTGTAAAGCCAGACTTATTGCCAGTTACTGAGAAGAGGGCATTTTCTGATTAGCTGCATCCTCCATTTGAAACATTTTAGTTGAAATTATTGGAAGAGTTAAAGCAACAAGAATCAGTGCAACATTCAGAAATCTGCAGGACTAGTTTTGAAGGTTTAAATACCGAACCTTTTTCTTTAGGTGTAGAAGTGCAAATGATGAAAGATCATTAACCATGTCTTTGAAACAGACATGCGAAAACTTGGTTTTTATCTGAATTGGGAGTGCTTTAGGCCATTGGCTTTATGTATACATAAGTGCAAAGCACCGCTATAATGGGTAAAAAAATTAAACTCTGTAGCAAACTACTGTTGCTACCATAGCATTTTACTCTGTGATTCCATCAAAGAGACTCTAGTCGGAGCTGTTGATAAAAGTTTTCCGACAGGCAGATTGTAGATTTACTGTAATGTGGTGCCAACTAATGGCTGTAGGAAACAATAAAATGCATAGATGCAAAAATCTGTGAAGTCTTTGATGTACATAGCAAAAACCGATACGGCAAAAATTACACGTCATGTCACATGAGATGAGTTTAAGCTACATGGCAAAAAATCGAAAGGGTTGCCTTTTATGTTCCTATTTTGTTTATCCTAGCAATAATATTAAAAAAAAAAAAAAAAAACTTTGAAATACGTTTCTCTTCATGAAATGCCACTGTGATCATAATTTAATTGATATTTGTAATTTTTATGTAAAGTTTTGTTTGAACAAAATAGATATAACAGAATTATGCAGCTATTGAAATCTCACAGTGGTTTCTTTGTAGACTTAGAACGAAACTTTGAAGATCTAAAATAAAAATTCTTTCATCCCCTCAATTTAATACTGATGCAATTCAGAATCTCATATATTATTTACATGCCTAGATAGTCCACATGATTAACCTTTATAAAATAATGTCTCACAAAAAAAATGCTGTCCGCCAAAATACGGTACATGGAGCAGACTGCTCCTTCTAGCTTATTATCCAGTTTCCCTTAGGAAGTCCTCTATGTAATCATTTCTCCGCATATAGCTCTCGTGTGCCTTGTCGTATTCTAACAACCAATCAATCAATCCCGATATTATTAAAATAAAGACAATGTTTTAAATTATATTTTTAAGTGAATTTAAAAAAAAAATAGAATATAAAGAATTTAAATACAAGTGCATGTTTAAAATCAGTGTTTAAGGGAATAAAATTTGTTATCACCTATTCTGAAAATCTTTTATAAAAATACTAGTAGTCAACGAGCTGTGTACACTGTAGAATTTGAGAAATTACATCAGAGTATTATTCAGTTTCGAGATCAAATGCAATGCACATATTTGTATCGCTTTGTTTTTGTAAAATTATTTAATGAGTGGATAATACTCAAATTTCTTTTATTGTTTTAGTTAAATTTTGCTTGCATGCTTACTGAAAGGCACTTTCTATTAAATAGGTACTTTTGTATGCTGTCATAATCTAATTTTAATAATTAATATAACTAATTCTATTTGTTTTTTCATTGATGTATTTTATGGTCATATCAAAGATAGTTTTGTATGCAAAAAAATAACCGAAAATAATGTTTAATGGTTTTCTGGTCAATATTAAAAATTATCTCTTTGTTTTTCTTTTATTGTAAAAAAATTATATATCTGAGATATTTTGTGTAATTGAAAGAATGCAGATATATATTATGAAGAATACAATTTAGGTGCATAAATGATATATGTGGAATGCTTGTGTGTGTGTATATTAAAGCATGAATTGCTGGTATGCTGGGCTGGTCATTGGGAGGTCTAAAGTTTGAATCTTGGTGAGAGCATTGCTGATTTTTTATTTCTTTTTTCAAAATAAGCATTATCATTCTGTATGTTCACAGGAATGCAGTGAAAATGTAGTCTTTTCGAAACGTAATAAGCCTGATATCTTTAAAATGTTCTCAGGGACTAAATTACACAGAAAATTAATAAATAAATTGCTGTGAATGTTCATAGGGAAAGAGAAAACTCTAAAGAATGTTTAAAAATTCAAGCTAAGAAAATGAAATTGTCAGATAAATCTCATTCTGAAGCCTGTATAGGACAATCTGTATCCCAGTACCTGTAGCTGACAGAGGAAGAGATGATGCCAGATCTGTTATAGCGGTTATTATAAAAACAACCAAAGAAGTTTTTGTTTTTTCCTTCCCAATTAGGTACAAGAAATGTCTGGATAAAACAGCTATATTCCTGATCCCAATTCGGCATCTTGGAACAAAAGTTAATTATGTTAGTGTCAGATTGCTCCTTTCAGTTGCTACAGCTGATGTTTAGGTGAAGGTGAGGGATTTAAAAACTGTTCATCTAAAATGCAGTATCTCAGGGAAAAAACAAATTTTTTTTTTTTTTTTTTTTTAGAACTAATATTCTATGCGATTCCAAGTGCCAATTTAGTAATCCCTATTCTAACAAGTGATTTTATTGTGTCCATATAAATAACATTTTCAATGCTGTATAATTCAGGTAAGGTTTTTTTTTTTTTTTTTTTAAATTCTTTAACTGTCTATACTTAGTTAATTTATATAATAACTAAATATTTTATGAAATAACTATTGAAAGTGTGGAATTATTGATTTATCACGAATATTAACTGACTTGATAAGTTATTTCTTGAAATAACTAGGTACACATTTCAATGGTTAATATACATACATTTTCTCATACCTTTCATATATTTTAATTTTTCACATAAATATCTTTATTTTTGGTAGTAATTTTAATTGTTACAGGCTTTGCTGAAGCTTTCTACTTCACATCTACAGAAAAAGGCACCAGTAGTTGCTGATGGAAAAGCTGAGGATGGGCAGTCGTATAAGTAAGTGCAATCAATAATACCATCATACACTCTTCAAAAGTGAAATTGCAACATGAAGAAAGAATGTGTGTAGTGTCATGCATATTGCAGGAACAAGAGTTGTGAGGTGGATATGTAAACGATAAAAGTTGTGCATGCATTGGATCACATGGTACGTATATGCAGGCTATAAAGGTCAGCCACTTTCTCTTCTCATAAACAGCATCTGAGGGTTTATGGAGCATTGGAGAATTTAGAAGAAGCATAGAAAATGCCTCCAAGATGTCGGCGAGCTCAGTACCATTGGTTAACGACCGAGGAACATGACCGTATTATCAAACTCCATGACCTTGGTTTGTCACTGCACGTAGTAGCCATCCGTGTTGGGCGCAGTGTGAGTACCATCCAATGTTGTGTTACACGATGGATTCAACAAGGCGGTACGTGCGTATCGAAGAGGAATTAGTTTGCACAGGTGCACGTCAGAGCGCACAGATTGATGTATTCGGCGGTCAACTATTGGAGATCCTTTCTCCACGTCACGTCACATCGGAAGCCAGTTGCCTCCAGGAGCAGGTGGATCTGTGTCCATCCAAACTATTCGCAACTGATTGCATGAAGTACACTTACATTCACAGGTACCAGCCACGGGTTACCATTGACTGCTGAACACAAGATTAGATGCCTGGTGTGGTGTCAGCATCATAGTGCGGGGACCATTAAATAGCATCGGGTATTGTTGTTTACCAATGAATCTCCTTTCTGTCTGTGGAGAAATGATGGCAATTGACCAGGCGACCCGGAGATGGTGGCAGCTCGGAGAACGCGATGAAACAGCCCATTTCGCTAAGCGTCACACTAGTCCTGCTTCAAGCATTATGGTTTGTGGTGGCATAATGTTTGATCACAAGACGCACCTGGTACACATTAACGGCAGTTGACAGTGGACCGCTATGTCACGGAAGTTATGGAGCCTGTTGTTCTACTTTGGTTGCAGGTTGCACCCAACATGGTATTTCAGTAAGACAATGCCAAGCCACATGTCGCACGGCATACTCTTAACAGTCTGACTGGATCTGACATCCTACCCTAGCCGGCAGCCTTTCCAAATATGAATCCCAATCGAACACCTGTGGGATGTCATTGGATGTGACATTAACCGAGGACCACGGCTGCAAACACTGGATGATCTGTATACAGCAGATGTATACAGATGTGGCTTGGCAAAGGCTACCTCAGGCAGCCATCAATGAACTCATTGATAGCATGCTTCGCCGGATTGCGGCCTGTATTGCTGTCTGAGGTGGCACATTAGATACTGAATAAATTGGTTTATAATGATTTTTATGTGTCTGTTTTTTAATTATTTGCATACCCATCTCACAACTCTCGATCCTGCAATTTGCATGTTATGGGAGAAGTAGTTGCATTTGTCTCATTTTGGTACTGAATCAACACAGTTTGCCAGAAAGCACTGTGCAGAGAACCATAAGAATGTTGAGTATTTTCTCATTATCTGCACCTCTGCCAAAATGTCACGCATGCCAACTGGCGACTTTGAAGAGTATTCACAACCTCATCAGCAACTAATGTTTTGCCAAGCTAATGTGCAAAAGGCAAGTCATTTTCAAAATAGCAGCATAAGAATTTCACAAAAGCAATCAATTAATGTAATTAACAAAGAAGCATTGGTAATAAAACGCTTACCTTTCTCAAGAGATTCTTACTTTTTGCATATTGATCTTTTCATACACATATTTTGTTTTCAGTTAAAAAAAACTTCAAAGAATTGATTAAATTTGGCTTCTTACAACTTTTGCATTTTCAGACAGACATATAAACAGACATGTGGTACATACATAGCTGGCTTACCACATCATTATTTTGGCAACAGACTGCTTTGCCTCATTAATACATTTTGATGACTTTTCAGCAAATAACCAGACAATACTAAAGCCGCCGAATTATGGCATCCACTTCTTGAGTGAACCAAAGCGTTGATTCAGTGCTTGTGGAGTCAATTTGAAGAGATGAAAAGTGTTTGAAGATGTTATGAACTACCACCTCGGATGATGACCACTATTTATCTAAAGTTGAAAATCACACACCTGCCAAGACAACTTTTAACAGCAACCAAAAGAAGAGTGTTGATGCAGACAATTCACAGAGGCCTTCACACAAGTGGATTGTATGTTTGTAAACCCGCAGCTTTTATCCCAATAACTTCCCAACATTGTGAATCTTGAATAAGCTAGATTGAAGAATGCTGTGATTGACAACCTATTGAATGTAACATAATCTTTAAAAACAAACACAATACAGAATGTTAAAATATTGTTAATATATCAGTCTTTTAAAGATGGAAATTCTGATGCACATCAAGAAGATACTTTCCAAAGGCCCCATATATTCACCAAAGATTGAAAATGATACCAAGCAAATTACTATAAATATGAAAATGATTATTGACAAGGTTAATATGGTCCTTAAAAGTTTTTAGGTTTCATGAAATGATTTTTTGGTCTTTAAAAGTCCTTAATTTCAGCCAAAATAAACTCTTTAAGACTCTTTAATGTATACAAATACATAAATAGAGCCTTAAAAAGAAGAAGGATGCTTTGAAAAAAATCTGCCTGTATTAGAACAATCTAAATCGCTAGAGAGCCAACATATTTCTGTGAAGCATAGAGTTTCCTTTTCTCTACAGCCACTAGTGGGGACCATCTGGAACATTCCCCTGGAGCAGAAATGACCATTGAAATAAAAAATTTTAAAAAGTGTGAAAGGGAGGGTTTGCATACGATTGGCAATTTTCATATTGGACTGTACAACTGTTATCTGCAACTTTCATGAATGCTCTTTTAAATTTTACTTGGAAAGTGACTTTTTACTTCCTTGTACAAAGTAAAAAGGAAGTATTATAATCGCAAAAAAATTCAGGTAGCATATTTCAGTGAAACTATCCATTTTGACCGCTATCGAACGCAATTTAACGTTGTTTTTGGGAGACATCTGTACATAAGGACAGAATAAAGGACTCTTAATCCCCAAAAATATTATAAAAATGATTTAAAATGAATTCTAAAAAGATTTCTTTTCATGTATGTACGTATGTACATATCTTGCATAACTCAAAAAAGAGTAGCCTCAGAATGTTGAAACATGTAGATATGCACCTTCTATTTTGGTTGCTATCAGCCACACCCAAAAGTATATAAATAGCCATTCTTACTCGACTCGGTACTTATATGTTTGTAAATTGTGCATTTTTTGCTTGATTGAAAAATGATTGAATTATGCTGTTCTGGTTAATGCCTTTAGTTAACCTGTGTGCAATAATTGTGGAATAATCAGCAATTTAAAAGTTTATTAAGTGCGACCAAGCCTAATTTTTGATAACTATAGCAGCCATATTTGTTTCCATTTGAAACTTATCAGAATAGTGGATTTGTTGCCAATCTAGAGAAACTAAGCTTTGCAACAACAAAGTAAAGTTTCTTTATTATGTGAATTAATATGCTTATTCATTCTGGAATTATCATTTAAGTTTAGCTTGTTTTTGCGTAAAACAGAATTTAATTGCAAAAATTTTTTAAAATTGTTTTAACATACTTGTGTTTTATATTTTTATTCTTTTTTTTAGAAAATATTTTGACTTTTTTATGTATTTTTGCTTGCCGCAAAGTGAGAACTGAATTAATTTATAGCGCATGCGCATAGGTAAACAGCACTGAATTGTCTCTGAAAAACGTTTTCTTATTGTTTAATTTCTTTTATACCTCATTTTAGATTATTATAGTATTTAAATAGAAATTCTGGTAATTCTTCAGATGATATAATTTTTGTGCACTCTGAGTTATAAAATGAATAAGATGTAATGCTGTTAAGTGAACCTACCACCAAAGTGTTGCTATGGTAAATAAATGTAGCGAACTCCATTAAATGTAGTGAGTGCATTTAGTCTATTGTGGTTTATGCGTTATCGATGAAGTAGATTTAATTAAAAATTCGTTAACTGCAGGAAAATTGCTTATAATTTAATGTTCCGTACAAGGAAGTCATGTGGTGTACACGTCAGATTTTTTAAATTTTTTTTTTATGAATTTTGCATGTGGCAGTTTGGAGATTTGTTACTGTATGTGAAGTGCAGAAATTCGGGTATTGTTTGATTGTGTTCTCTTTAATTAACCAAAAATAACCCTTTTTCCTTTTCTGTAATCCTTCTGGTTTTTTTTAATGTATATTGCCGAGTTTTCTGATTTTAAAATCAGCTTATGTACAAAATTTTAATTTGGTGATTTGTGAATTTCATTCCAATTTTCTTAACAAATATAATAATGTTATTACATTATGATCAGTAGTATACTTATTTTTTTTTTTACTTTCTTAAATTTTTTACAGTTTTCTCTTCTATAATTCTTTTAAAATATTCAGGTATGTGTTAGCATTGTTTGTAAAATTTATTTTTCACCTTTTTCTTAATTGTTTTTAAAAAAATCTTCTGAATTTTACTTTTGCATGGTTGACAGGTATTTTAATGGTTAAAAGTTCAGAAAATACCCATTACAAAATAAAAAAAGCACTGCTAGTGTTAATATATGATATGATAGACTGTTTTACAGTAAATTTATGATGGATTTCTCATATTTATTAGAGAATTTTCAGAAAAAGCTGTGAAAAGTGTTTGAATTTTCTACAATACTGGATTATTATTTTACAGCCTCTATCATATAAACAATGCCAAAAAATAGCGGTAATTTGTTTTAATGGAACTAAGTGCCAAAAATTATGAATGTGAAACCCTTTCTGAAGAAAATGTGCAACGAACCCTAAGGATCAACTCAAACAGTCTTAGTGAATTCCAGCACCCTAGATGTTTGGTGAAAATTTCAGTAAATGTCATCAAGGTCTGCAAACTTGTCTGGAATCAGCTCGCTGATGTATTTGAGGAAAATGATATTGTTGATTATAAAGAAAAAAAATGAATGCTTGTTTGAAAACTCATCTGTATTCAGCTCACT